AGAGAGAGAGAGAGAGAGAGAGAGAGAGAGAGAGAGAGAGAGATTTTCAGAGTGACTAGGTGGATCAGTACCTTTCACTTTTCCAATTTCACTTTGCCAAATAATAATCCAAAGGCTACATCTCTCCAGACTTCAAATTAGAATACAGCTACATTTTGGTTATCTGGTGCAGTCTAAGTATTAATTGCCTCTCAATTTGTTGCTTTCAATGAATTATACCATTCTTTCGCTTTTCATTTTTGTAGCTTATCCGAAATGGATTTTCTTGCTTTTTTTTTTTGGGTTAGCTTCAACCCAACAGGTAACTATTACAACTACCTTTTGGGTGAGAGAGAGAGAGACCCCTCATACTCAGAACATGGCAACTAACCAAGGTTGACTCAAAGTTCAATCCAACCTTTCAAGGAAACAGTATGGATGAACTGACAGATTACACACACAAATATATATATTATGTATGTATATGTATTCACACACAACAATCCTTTAAAATATGTTTGGTAAAAAGCCAAATGGAATGGCCAAGGTGGAATCAACTACTTTTATTATATTATATTTGTTTTTCTAGCAAAACAAAAACTGAAACTTCATACCCCCCCCCCCCCCCCCCCCCCAACTATATACAAATGTGTGCTCATTAGTTTTTTAGATAATTCAGGGTAATGGAATTGATGACAATAATTATCTTGAATCCAACTAACGATAAAAGTAAGGGGTCTTATGTTTTGGATTTACAATTGTTTTATTTTGCCTCACATATTTCGATAATTTTTTATATTTCAAATATTTTCAGGTATAGATTGAAGGATATGAAGATGAAGTTAAAGGTATTTCTCTATTTGTGCATGTGTGTATTTTTTGTGTTCCGTCTTTTGTACAGTTAACTAATTATACGTGGTTATGATGATTTTGAATATGGAATAATTGTTGTTTTGGTGGTTGGGTATGTTTTAATGATTGTAGTGATATGGTGTATTATGGTGGTTGGTATGTATAATTGTAAGTTTTATAGACATGTTTAGATTTTTTTGAGCTTATATTTTTAAAGGAAACTATGCCCAAATTTCTTGAAATTAGTAGGGACTAGCTTGATATTTTGGTAGTTGGATATGTGTTGATGATTGAGTATGTATTGATTATTGTGGTGGTATGGTGAATTATGATGATTGTTATGTATGATTGTAAGTTCTGTAGACATGTTTATATTTTTATGGGTTCCTATTTTTAGAGAAAATTATGCCAAAATTTCTGGATAATAGTATGGACTACCTTGATTTCAAATTGACAGGTTATTTTAGTTTGCAAAGAATCTTTAGATAATGTAGGATTGTTTGAGTTGTAATTTAATTTTTCATTACGCCGTGCCTTGAGGTATGGACAATTACTAGTACATACAAATTTCTCCTCATCTTTCTATTCTCTTAAATTGTCTGAATTTGCTCTCTCTCTCTCTCTCTCTCTCTCTCTAAAATTACAATTATCAATTTATTCTCAAAATAAGAATAAACCTTTTATTCCAATATTACAAAAATTTTATCGAGATCCATCTATCTTTAATTCTTTTTATTCCCTATTTGATTCTTCAAAATTAAACTGAAAATATTAAATAGAACGAAAAAATATACAATATGATGAAAAACAATATGTTGTATGATATTAAATACCAAATAAATGAGGGATCACGTAACAAAATAAAAAATCTCGAATAACAGCAGTAACAAATCAACACATATTTTGCATATCCCACATAATGCGAGATTAAAACACATTTTTTACACCTCATCAATCACTTCATTTCAACTCAATCCCACATGCTTTTTGATTGGCGATGCAATGGATTTTTGTATATCACGATTCAGTCTCGATTAACACAAACATGATCAATGTGATCAATACACTTAAAAAAATTAAATTTGAACTTCACAATTATGATAATACAAAATAGAACACAATAAAAAATAATCAAAAAAATACTCTTTATAAAGAAATTCAAGAACAAACATAATGTATACTAACTGGTAGCTTGAAATCATCACACAAATAGATTTTGTATACCAAACTCTTTTAAATGCATACATGAGAGATGCACTGGAAGACCTCACATGCATCCAAACACTACCCCCACCTAACTTTATTGACAAACACACACACACACATACACTGGTGAACAAATTGACCACTCACCCTACTTCATATTATATTATTTTTTTTATCCTTTTCTTCATTCCATTCATTTAACTAGCCTTTTCTTCCAATTCTTTTATTGTTTTAATATTTACCCTTTTCCCTTTACTTATTGCTAATATATACTTATCCCAACATTATTAGTATCTTTAATATTACTACTTAAAAAATTCAGGATCTTACATTCATTTTTAGCCTATCTTTGATAGGCCTGAAATGGGTGAATGGAAAAGTGAGGACGGAAAGTATGAATAAAAAAATAGGATGAAAATTGGAGAGAAAAGGTGGCTGCTATGTTGTGGTGAAGTTAATTTACGTGTATACCCTTATTAGACCATCCGTCCCTCCGTCGACTTTAATCCCTGTAATTTTTAATGGTATAAGGGCACATGTGGTTTAGGTATTAAATTGGATTATTTGGTGAACTTTATTATCACACTAGGACTAATCTTGTCTTTGAAAATACTATGCAATATCAAAAATTGAACATTAATTGTGCAATATTTATATTTAAAGAGAAAAAAAAAAGAGAGGTAGGGGAGAGAGAGAGTTGTGTGAGGATTAAGGGGTTGTTTGCTATTGAAGAACGTGTTGATTGAGTTGTTTGACATTAAAAATTAAGCAAAGAGTACAATATTTTTTAGCAGCATTAAAATTTTTGAGTTAAATTTTATACCATTGGATCAAAGTAGATGATAATTTGATCAATCTTAATCCCTTTTGGTGTTTTAATAAATTGACAATTCAACTTATTAACTGTAATATTAGATAGATGTGTTGGATAAAATTTGAAATAAGGGGGTGGATCCATGGTTTTAACATCAATTCCATGTTTTTAATTTTTGGACTCCAACAGTCAGATAGGATTCGAGTCCAAAAATCAGTCTCACCAAAATAAAGGTACCACTTAGATCACATAGAGCGCGAAAGAGAGAATTTTTTTTTTTAAAAAAAAAGTGAGAGTGGGAGCATCATAAAGATCTTAAAATTTAGTACAGCNTTTTAAAAAAAAAAGTGAGAGTGGGAGCATCATAAAGATCGTAAAATTTAGTACATTTGTAGGTTATTTTTGAAAAGTAAGAAAAAAAATTTAATCTCACATCGGTAAAGAATCAACAAGTTCTTTAGGAAGACAACAATAAATAGGACAATTGTAGGCTATTTTGGAATGTAACTGGGCTCAACTTGGGGATTAGTCCATTAGAAGGTTGAAAAACGTTTATTGGGTTGAGTTCCAACCTATTAATTAGTCCAAATTTTTAGTATTTTGGTTATGGATAAATCTTAGTTATGGAGAGTAAGAATACTTATCATCTGACATACTTCAATCTACTGAATTATTTTTTAAATTTGGATTAAATTTCTTAAATATCAATTAAGTGAACCCATAATATTTAGTTATCTGAATTCCACAACACGCGTTTAAGAAATTATTTTGAAGTTCTTTATTTTTCATTTGCCCTTTCTATCACCATTGTTAATTTGAATGTATTGAATAATGATTGTCAAGTAATACTTTTATAATTTGAAAACCAGTCGAGAACAATTGTAAAGGTAAGGCTATGCCATGGTGATCTAAGTGTCAATTAATCAAGTCATAGCAATATTCTTTCACATGCGCCATAAGTTGAACACAAATTTGAAAACGCTCGACCCCAATCCAACCCGTGCTTGACCTTAACTTGAAACACCTCAACCTAGATACAGTCTACTCTGGACAGGCTAAATCTAATTTATTATATTGGGTGTAAAGCTCGTTTTCCTAAATATTATATCCTGTTTAACTTTTTTATTAGGCTAATATAGAAAAAAAATGCCCATTAAAGACACTAACCTCTTTGAGTTTGCCTTCTTTATATATAAGAGAGGAAAATACCTTCTTTTTTTTTTTTCTAACCCCTATAGAGTTCCAACTGAAACATCTTTTTTGACTCTTTATTCAACATTCCACATCGGTTCAACAAGGAATGTTGCAATCCCTCTAGTGCTACAAAAACTTCTTGATGAGTTATGTGCCGGCACAACACAGTTGCCCTTATTAATCGACGTCTCACACTAAGAAACCTAAAAAGTACAATGAAATAAAGAACGTGCACGTAACATTACAAAGGATAACTAAACTGACTTGGAGCTGAACTCCTCTACCAAAGAGGATAATGAGCAAACCACCGATCAACCATTGCTAGACATTCACTAGGTTTATGCTCTGGACTAGTATGACCCGCTCCCTATTAAAAGTAACGAGGACACAATTAATTTGGATCCTCATTTTACAAATCCAGTGGTTGATATAAAAATTAAGAGAGAGATTAAATACCTTTACTGTTGCATATGTCAATGAGTAGTCGTCGTTGTGCGTATAAGAAACTGTATATCTGCATAAAACAAATTACAATATTACCTTGTTGATGAACTTTCAATGAGTAACAATTTAAAGCAGCTCAATATTTTGTAGCTCAATATTATGTTGCAAAGATGTTTAGAAGTTTCAGAACCAACCCTGCTACTTGATTGTTAACAAACCACGGCTGCCAACCACTTTCAACCGTCAAATTTAGAGATTTTATCCATTTCTCAGTAGCCAGATGAGGAACTCTCATGTCAAGATCGCCGCTGTTAGAAGAGAACATTTCGTCGTAAGAATAAGTTCTTTTTACAGTTAACTATTGTCAAAAAAGTTCTGATATACACACTTACAGTACAGTGTGTCTATAGGAAATTGAATTTCATAGAGGAGAAACGGTAGTTGATGTGTTTGCAAATATTTGGTTTGATGTGTTTGATTAGGTCACAGTGTCTGTTCCAGTTGATACAGTCCACATTGTATTCTTGTAAGGTGTAATGAGATAGTGTCAGGATGCTATTACCTGAATATTAAAGCTCGACAATTTTTGTTCGTTAGATTTCGATGATAACCAACAGTATTAGGGACGTTGAATGTGTAAGCATTGGTTGCACTTCTACCAAATGAGTATTCTATGCTGTGATTGCAATGCAGCCATTCTGTTATTGTTCCCTGTTGGTCACATTAATCAATAGTGATGAAACTATGATGAATGTGATATTAATGCAAGTTGATTAATGTACCTCGCGAATGTGAAGTGCTTTTTGAACAGCTCTATCATTAGCCCACATAGTCGCATAATTATAAATAAAGTCCTACAAAAGATAAAGATATAAGCATGTTAGTGTAATACAAATCAACCTGACAAAGAACGAAAAGTTTATACGTAAGATGGGGAAGGGGATTACACGACACCCTGGTTCTGGAAGTAGAGGTAGTGACCACAGTGGGTCCATGGAATTCTCTTCAAGAGAGCTTCTGTCCCATCTTAGCAAGCTCAAGTTTACATGTGATGTATCGCACAAGGGTTCCAAAATTTGTGGCAAATTTATTTTCTCGATGCACTACAAAACAAATGGTAAGTCTTCTTAGTGGATATAATAACAAGTGTTCAAGAGATTGATAAAGTTTAATACACAAATTCTTTCAAATTTTCTAGCAACATGGGAATGAAGATTTCTTAATCACAACGAGCATATGAAAACCAAGGTGGGAGATTTCCTCACCTTTTCTACGTCTTGTAGATCACTTGTACACAATCCATTGTTAGGATCTACGTCTACGTACTCGCCATGGCAATTTGCTTTGGTTGACTAAAAAATATTCAAAGGTCACAAATTTTAGAATCACATCTCCATAATAAGAAAAAATTGTGAGTGTTTTTACCATTATCGTGGGAGGGGAATAATGTAAAACTATGGTCCTAAATGACTCGAACAAACTAAGCACGAGTGTGGAAATTTGATTTGCCTGTACAACAAAAGTTAATGCTAAACTGTATCTAAAAATAGGCTAATGGGAGAATCATGGTTTGATCTTAGAGGAAAAGTAGCACATACGAACATCGTGGATAACCCAATTTCAAACCTCCTTCCCCATGTACATTAAAAAAGGGGACACGGGGGTAAAGGCTTGTATTAGCTATCATTCAAGGGCTCTAGTGAGCGTCTGATTGAGGGAGCTTATAGAACTCAAATATACACAACTCTTAAGACTCGGACATACCAAGTTACCTTGTAGAGTTCATCAGATAGAAGTGTAACACGATGGGCATATTGTATTCTTGAATTAACGTCTCTATTTTTATCTGTTAGAGGGTTGCCAAGCATGTATCCCTGTATCCAATTGAGAGAGTCAAATTTAAGGTTATTACAAAATACCAAAACATGCACATTAGAACTCAGGTCATTCAAGATCTTCAGTAGGATCATTTACTTTAATATTCATTTGAGGCTCATTTCCGGCTTCATTACCTACACAACAGACAGAAAAGGGAGAAAAGGAGGAAAATTAAGGAAAATCACAGGTATATGAATCAAAACCTTTCTCAATGAATAAATTTGGTTTACTTTACAAAAGCTAAGTCTTTCCATTTTTTTTATCATGAAAACAGATGAAAGGGAAGAAAAGTTGGATCGATATCTAATCTGTACTAAAACATATTGTTTGTATTCATCAAAATTTTGTTTTTCTCTAGCAACCAGATGAAGCATAGCTTGATATAAAGGAGTCTCCATGACCATAACTAGTTGAGTACCATTGTATATCTCCTCCACAATGATTGGAACAACCATGCCAATGTAGGAGATACCACAAATGTACAGTGGATTGTTGAGAAACTTGGGGTGGTCCACAAGCCACTGCGTCACAATGCAAGAATTAAGGAAATACTTTTCGTTAGTCCGATATCATGAAATAATCAACAATACACTTCAGTGTGACAGAATGTTCAAATATACTCAATCACTATTGATCCATTATGTTANACTAAACTGACTTGGAGCTGAACTCCTCTACCAAAGAGGATAATGAGCAAACCACCGATCAACCATTGCTAGACATTCACTAGGTTTATGCTCTGGACTAGTATGACCCGCTCCCTATTAAAAGTAACGAGGACACAATTAATTTGGATCCTCATTTTACAAATCCAGTGGTTGATATAAAAATTAAGAGAGAGATTAAATACCTTTACTGTTGCATATGTCAATGAGTAGTCGTCGTTGTGCGTATAAGAAACTGTATATCTGCATAAAACAAATTACAATATTACCTTGTTGATGAACTTTCAATGAGTAACAATTTAAAGCAGCTCAATATTTTGTAGCTCAATATTATGTTGCAAAGATGTTTAGAAGTTTCAGAACCAACCCTGCTACTTGATTGTTAACAAACCACGGCTTCCAACCACTTTCAACCGTCAAATTTAGAGATTTTATCCATTTCTCAGTAGCCAGATGAGGAACTCTCATGTCAAGATCGCCGCTGTTAGAAGAGAACATTTCGTCGTAAGAATAAGTTCTTTTTACAGTTAACTATTGTCAAAAAAGTTCTGATATACACACTTACAGTACAGTGTGTCTATAGGAAATTGAATTTCATAGAGGAGAAACGGTAGTTGCTGTGTTTGCAAATATTTGGTTTGATGTGTTTGATTAGGTCACAGTGTCTGTTCCAGTTGATACAGTCCATATTGTATTCTTGTAAGGTGTAATGAGATAGTGTTAGGATGCTATTACCTGAATATTAAAGCTCGACAATTTTTGTTCGTTAGATTTCGATGATAACCAACAGTATTAGGGACGTTGAATGTGTAAGCATTGGTTGCACTTCTACCAAATGAGTATTCTATGCTGTGATTGCAATGCAGCCATTCTGTTATTGTTCCCTGTTGGTCACATTAATCAATAGTGATGAAACTATGATGAATGTGATATTAATGCAAGTTGATTAATGTACCTCGCGAATGTGAAGTGCTTTTTGAACAGCTCTATCATTAGCCCACATAGTCGCATAATTATAAATAAAGTCCTACAAAAGATAAAGATATAAGCATGTTAGTGTAATACAAATCAACCTGACAAAGAACGAAAAGTTTATACGTAAGATGGGGAAGGGGATTACACGACACCCTGGTTCTGGAAGTAGAGGTAGTGACCACAGTGGGTCCATGGAATTCTCTTCAAGAGAGCTTCTGTCCCATCTTAGCAAGCTCAAGTTTACATGTGATGTATCGCACAAGGGTTCCAAAATTTGTGGCAAATTTATTTTCTCGATGCACTACAAAACAAATGGTAAGTCTTCTTAGTGGATATAATAACAAGTGTTCAAGAGATTGATAAAGTTTAATACACAAATTCTTTCAAATTTTCTAGCAACATGGGAATGAAGATTTCTTAATCACAACGAGCATATGAAAACCAAGGTGGGAGATTTCCTCACCTTTTCTACGTCTTGTAGATCACTTGTACACAATCCATTGTTAGGATCTACGTCTACGTACTCGCCATGGCAATTTGCTTTGGTTGACTAAAAAATATTCAAAGGTCACAAATTTTAGAATCACATCTCCATAATAAGAAAAAATTGTGAGTGTTTTTACCATTATCGTGGGAGGGGAATAATGTAAAACTATGGTCCTAAATGACTCGAACAAACTAAGCACGAGTGTGGAAATTTGATTTGCCTGTACAACAAAAGTTAATGCTAAACTGTATCTAAAAATAGGCTAATGGGAGAATCATGGTTTGATCTTAGAGGAAAAGTAGCACATACGAACATCGTGGATAACCCAATTTCAAACCTCCTTCCCCATGTACATTAAAAAAGGGGACACGGGGGTAAAGGCTTGTATTAGCTATCATTCAAGGGCTCTAGTGAGCGTCTGATTGAGGGAGCTTATAGAACTCAAATATACACAACTCTTAAGACTCAGACATACCAAGTTACCTTGTAGAGTTCATCAGATAGAAGTGTAACACGATGGGCATATTGTATTCTTGAATTAACGTCTCTATTTTTATCTGTTAGAGGGTTGCCAAGCATGTATCCCTGTATCCAATTGAGAGAGTCAAATTTAAGGTTATTACAAAATACCAAAACATGCACATTAGAACTCAGGTCATTCAAGATCTTCAGTAGGATCATTTACTTTAATATTCATTTGAGGCTCATTTCCGGCTTCATTACCTACACAACAGACAGAAAAGGGAGAAAAGGAGGAAAATTAAGGAAAATCACAGGTATATGAATCAAAACCTTTCTCAATGAATAAATTTGGTTTACTTTACAAAAGCTAAGTCTTTCCATTTTTTTTATCATGAAAACAGATGAAAGGGAAGAAAAGTTGGATCGATATCTAATCTGTACTAAAACATATTGTTTGTATTCATCAAAATTTTGTTTTTCTCTAGCAACCAGATGAAGCATAGCTTGATATAAAGGAGTCTCCATGACCATAACTAGTTGAGTACCATTGTATATCTCCTCCACAATGATTGGAACAACCATGCCAATGTAGGAGATACCACAAATGTACAGTGGATTGTTGAGAAACTTGGGGTGGTCCACAAGCCACTGCGTCACAATGCAAGAATTAAGGAAATACTTTTCGTTAGTCCGATATCATGAAATAATCAACAATACACTTCAGTGTGACAGAATGTTCAAATATACTCAATCACTATTGATCCATTATGTTATATAAACAATGTATTATCAAAATATGGGTATGCCGGGATTGAGATTGCAATTTTAGATGCTCTCCAGATATAATGATATTTCTAATCTTTAAATATGTTTCTCTCACCTTCCTAAGAAATTCATAAGTTTGTGTTGCCGATATTGTATCGCTGCTGAGGTAAGCTTCCGAAGTATTGGCATAGGAGAATCCAGTCCCAACTGGTTGATCTATAAAAATAATGTTGGCAATCTACAGAGTTGAAACCATTTTACATTAGTCGACAGACTAGAGGTTTTTCAGGGCTTTGATTGCATATATTTCTAGAACCAAGTGGTAGGGTAAGAATTTTAGACCTTTGTCCAAGAGTATGGGTTCAACTCCATTGTTGGTTGGTTTCCACCGGAATTTTCATAGTTGAATGTGAACGGGCCTACCCAAAAGGCAATAAAAATGAAGCAATTTCGATTGAGGAACATGAAATTTTCAAGTATATATTAGAGATTTCCTTAACATGACCGATATTGAAATTATAATGATGGTGACTAATGCAATGAAATGAGACGATTTGGGCACTTTTTAGTTTACATCAATTCAAAAAAGAAAAAAAATACATGATAACACATTTTTCTTGGTGTTCTAGTTCACTCCAACCTTATATCTAGAGGTCATATGTTTTAATTGTTTTTTTTTTTTAGAAGTATACAAATACAATGATATTCATTTATAGCTATTTGCATAGAAAAGCAAATAGCATAAAAACAAAAACTAGTCGTAGATTAATTACAACATAAGACTAAGATCATACAAACCAAAAACAGGTAAATATGCAAACCAATGTCATTTATAGAAACCCTAACAAACTAAGAACGTACTAAATTAGCATGTAATTATTGACTAATCAATACCCGTATTATCAACAAGTAGTCTGCATTTCTGTTTAACTCTCTTAATCCCTCTGTTAATTTGATTTGAATGTGTTTGAAGTGTGCTCATTGGCTTGTATTATGGGCGTATACAGATATGATAGGGCACAAGAAAATATAATTGAAAAATAATAATACGTTTGGATTTTAGGGTGGGCCAGGGTAACGATCATCTTGGCCCCCACGTAGCATACCCTTGGTTGGGATCGGCCAGGTCAGATCGCTGGTCAATGGGCTGATTGACTACTGTTAAAAAATAGACTTAATTGTAAAAGAAATATATAGAAAAAAATGTAAGGTAAAAAAGTCCTTAATTTTGACACTTATTTGTTTCCAAGTATATTATTTAAAATTTTCATATTTTCTTTTGACCTTTATATCCTCCCATGATCTATGCATATTTTTTTTTAAAAAGTAGTGCATTAAACATATCCTAATTTTATGAGAGAACTTTAATATTCCATATTTTTATGTTTTCCCCTGATTCATGCGTATTGTTTTTTTAAATGATTTTGTTTTCAAATTATATTATTATCCGAACTCCATAACAGTGTAAAAAAAATAATGTAACAAGACATTTACACAAAATATTATACTATTACATTTTGTCAAACATATATTTTCATATAATTTCATTCAAAACAATCCATCTCAGTTTTAAAATTGTTACTACATGCACAACCACTAAATATTGTTTTTGTTATAATGTATTATTACATTTTTTTTGTTACACTATTGTTTAATGAATTGTTAAGTTTTTGTTACATTGTAAATAATTTTATATGTCAAATTATATAAAAAAATAATTAACAAATTTTAAAATTCAAACAAAGTGATATATTCTAAAATAAACGAAATATTAAATTTTTTTCATAAAATTAGGAGATATTTTAATGTATAAATACAATTTAAAAACAAAACTACTTTAAAAAAAAAATACGCATGAATCAAAGTGCATTAGAGATTTCGAATTAAATGATCCTAAATTTCAGCGTTTAAGATAAATGTTTTGTTACAGTTTTTAGGAAAGAAAATTTTATAAAATGGGCATTTACGTCTTTGTATCTCAGTTGTGTACTTTTTCTAATACATTTTGTTGTATATTTTTTTACAATTATATCTAATTTGTTGTACTGACTTCCAAAGGACCCATAATATTATATGAGGCCTTATAATTATTTTTTTAGTAATAATAGTAATATAAAATACTTATTAAAATATGTTTATTTATAAATTATTTGTTTCATCTTTTGAGATATAACATACTAATTCAAATTTTAAATTTAAATTTTATAAATAAAAATTGTGTTAATCGAAGTCAAATACGGAAATCAATCACAATGATACATATTATTTGTTTAAGAAAAAGAGAAACATAATTGAAAATTAGTTTAACTACAAAAATGATTTTTTTTTTCAAAGTGTATATAAAAATAAGAATTTATATAAGTTGAGTAGTACTAAAATAAAAGAGACATTTATAATATAAAACATAACAGACTTAAAAAAATTCATTCGGCGATCGCAAATAGACTTATTTAACGGCCATTAACATCTCCCTCAAAATCATTCAAATTGAATTTTTCCTCTTAAATCCATCACTTCTCCCTTGTAGTTTACCATGTCTTTAGGCACGAATTATCCATAGTTGTTAGATACCATAGATAAAAAGAGCTATTTTTAAATAAATAAAAATAACTAATGCACTACTTATACTCACTATTTTATTGTCATCTTGTGCATTGTACAAATGTAAAATTATTATTCGTACCTATTATATGATAGATGATTGATTTTAATAATAAGACTGCAAAGTGATAAGTTGAACTTTAGAGATCTAATTTTTTTTAAAAGAGATTCTAACAATTTTACAATAATACTAATTGCACTTAATTTGAAGACCATGTACATTAGATAAATAGAGAATTTTGTTTAAATTTAACACTCACTATTAATTCAATGATTAAAATATATTGAGTATTTAAATTATATTCTAAAATTTTAATTATATATCATTGTTTATTTTATTTTTAGACCCCAAATTTTTTTTTTATTTAGGGCTTGGCAATGATCCAAGTGGCCTAAAGGTTGGGCGGCACTAATTACCTGAGTAGCCATAAGTGGGACTATCCTAAGTGTAAAACTCTTTTTTAACTAGCATAATATTATTTAAATTTAAATTATTGACATAATTGTTTATAATCGAAGTTTTGATAAATCACTCAAGTAAGGACTCAAGTCTACTCTGTTCAGCCCAATCCGGTCCATAGACATCCGTAGTTGAAGTCACAGTGCAAGTCCCATCCACGTAGTGCCTATAAACTGATGAATAAATCTATCCGCAAAAAGTATGATGTTGAGTTAAATACTAAAAGAAATACTTTATGCCATTATTTTTCATATAATATTAGCAGCATGCGAGTTTTTCTCTCTTTAATTGCAGTCATCATTTCACTGACTCATTTTTTCTGTATTATAAGTCCTCTTTCTGTGAATAACTTATTTCTTTCGTTTCTCTCCGACATCGTCTCTCTCATTCTCGTTCCATTTCTTTCATCTTGCATTCTAGATAACAGACTACATATATCTAACAGTGAATTTCCTCTGTTATATTTGGATAAAAAAAAAAAATCCTCTGTTANCATCTTGCATTCTAGACAGATTACATATATCTAACAGTGAATTTCCTCTGTTATAATTGGATAAAAAAAAAAAAATCCTCTGTTATATATATATATATTTCAATTTTATTTGAGTTTATGAATGTCAAACGTACCGATTTCATAGAAGAAGGCACGAAGAGCAGAACAACCAGGACCTCCGGCAAGCCAAAGCATGAGAGGATCATCTGTTGGATTCCTTTCTGATTCAACGAAGTAGTAGAACAACTGCACTTCATCTCTTTCTCCTACAGCAACGTAACTTAACCCAAAAAAAAAAAAAATGATCGTAAATAAATAACCAGGATCAAGCAATGGTACATAAGAGTACTAAAAAGAGGATGTATTCAAATCATATTGTGAACGCAATAAAAAGATTTACGCGTACTAGACCCGCCTACGAGGGACGTGTTGAAATATAACCATTAGAAATCACACCCTTTCGAATTAGCTTAAGCTTTAAATAAGTTTGATGGTTTAACGAAAAAAAAAAAAACTTACCCAGTTTCAAGTTTAAATGGAAGATCACCGGGAAAGCCCGGAAGAGTCTTGACGATAGACTGTGACACAATTACTTCGGAAAACACTAAGAGAAGAACGAATCGCAAAATTGCTGAGCTGCTGGTTTTAACTTGGAGTTCCTCCGATTGATGGTCCGCTGCCGGAGATGTTGAATCTGCCGTCAACGTCATGGGTTTACTTTCTAATTAATGTCAACGGCTCGCAAGGTGTTTGAATGAATGCCTTAATGTTTGCCGTCTTTCTCTTTCCTTATAAAGACTATGATGTTGGTTTAAACCCCGGTACCGAAAATTTAATTTTTTGGTATCGGCCTTTAATTTTTTATTCAATTCAAAATTAAAACATTATTTTAAACTATAGAAGTTTTTTTTAAAAAAAATTTGTGATTTTATTTTTTTTCATTATTCTTAGCAATCACTAACAACAAAAAATTCAAATTATGATTTAAACTTAAAAATTATTTTTTAGTACGATATCAAAAAAATTAGGATTAATAGTATTTTTAGTCCATAAAGTATTCATTTTTTATTAATTTAGTTTTCATTGTATTAATTTTATCAATTTATTTTTTAAAATATTCAATTCATGTCATTTTGGTCTCTAATCAGACAACTCCGTCAAGTATTTTAATAGAAGAGACTACGTGCTATTTTTTTAAAAGGTATCACATGCCCAATACGTGATCATTGCGTAAAAAATTTAATAGTCCATTTGCGTATGAATCAAAATGTCACAAAATTAAAAATTTTAGAAACCAAAAATACTATTAACCCAAAAAATTATGTATAATTTTCAGAGTTAAAGACGTTTTTATAAAAAAAATCTTATTAAATTTACTTGCCAAATAATATAAATGATTAGATCACTCCGGCCCATTTAAAAGAATTTGTGGGACTAACTAATCTCGATTTGGTTTGGTACTAAATTTGATAAAGGTAAAACCTTTTAGAATCAGATTACGAAAAATTTATTTCTTATAAATAATTTTGTCTTAAAGTAGATAGTCTGTTTTTGATTGGACAAAAAAAAAATTAATTGAAATACAAATAAACGGACTCCAACACTCCCCAAACTAAAAAAAAAATACTCTTGGGGGGGGGGGGGGGGCCCCCCC